ACACAAGCGCCCATCAGCGCACAAAAGTTAAATAAAGACGCACGTTCGGAAACTGCGCAAATAAACCCTACGTTCTATGATGCTTTCCGCAGGCCGCAGCCGCTGCAGTTATTGATCGGTCTCAACACTGCGTTTGCATTATACAGCAATCGTTACAGGACACCAAAATCGTTTTGAAAATATTGGATACAATCCAAAGCTGAATTCGCACTTTGTTTTTCTGCTCCTGGCAATTGTGTCCTATTAAACCTTTTCTTTTTGAGCTTAAACTATAGCCTGGAAAGGTTCAGGCGAAAATGGGGAACGCTTCTGGGATCGGAAATAGTCATATGGACGTGGATTATATTTTAAAACATATATGTGTGTTATCGTGTATGCAGTGCTTGCTGTGAGTTTAACCATTCAAATGTCGAAGTGGCGGTAGAACAAATTTTTTTGGTTGTAATTCGATGCCAAGCTTTTTCTTTGGCTTCACACTTGGTTGTTTGATACATCTAATTCAGTAGCCTCAAGTTCCTAGTTTTAGGATGAATATCTTTCGGCAGCTTAACGTACTCCGATTTAAACGAAAACTCTAACTCCTGTACTTTTCGTTAGATAGGGTGGAAATTTGTCGGTAGCGTTATTCTTTATACTTTTTTCTTGGCTTTTATATCGATGCTTGCTGTGTATTTAGTTTGTTTTGAGTTGGAGAAGTGATTGGTATTGGTCAGATAAATAAGATGGTTTCAGAAATTAACATTACTTACTGCGTTTATATTTTTCTTTATATCTTCGTTTTAACTGAATGTCAATGCTTAGAAAATTAGCAGTCGTTGTTTTGTGCACGATATTTTTTTTCTTTTTGCGGCGATGCTTGCAGTGGAGTAAAACTGTACATTTTTCCCTTTTTTATAGAGAGGAGATAATGATAGACGAAGAGCCGATAAGAGTTAATAAATGGGATGGTCCGACAGTTAAAAATACACTTGATGACGCCATAAGAAAGGTAAAAAATATCGGAGAACTTGAATTTGTTGTTGGAGATTTACTGTTTTTGCAAAAGTAGATTTCAGTAAGTATTTTTTAGATTCTGAATGATAAATACGATACTTGGACTGAAAAACATTGGTTGACAGATGGACGTCTTTTAATTTCGTCAATAGCGGTTGGCTTCGCAGGATTTGCCCTCGTTTATGATTATATTGCCCCGTTTCCAAAATCGAAGATGGTTTGGTTTTTTGTTGTTTTTTAAATTTTTAAATATTTGTCCGCTTTCCTGTTTTTTTCCGCGCTGAGCTTTCCTCGTATTTAGTTCTCCAGTTTGCTTCAGAGAATGAAGATCTCCCTGTAAAGAGAGAGTAAAATTTAACGGTAATTTAACAGTTATTACCCATGTAGTTGGTGGTGAGAATAGAGGTTTTGTGCATAACAGTGAAAGTGAAAGTCGCGTAGGTGACATCTTAAGCACACCTATGTGCTTTTTGCAGGTCAAGAGGTACACTGTGAGATAATTGATAATGGCATTGAGTAGGATGTATAAGTAGGATTGGCGCTTAAAATAATCAAATTTCTGTTCAGGTGTTGGCAACGTGTTCTGTAACTTATTTTATTTTGATGGGTATTTTACAATGTTATCAGTGGTACTTGGAAAAGGGAACGTTTTATCAGGCAGTCGACGAGGATCCTAGCGGTAAACAGGAAAAACGTTATTGGAAGTGGTCTTCATCTTTGAAGAAGTCAGCTTACATTAAATGACGACTCTTTCTATTCTTATTTTCCTAAACTTTATAGTTTGAATAGACTTATCATCGGAAATTGTTTTGGTTTTGCTGATTAAATTAGACCGGAACATCTGAGGCTTTAATTGTTAATACTTTGTTATTTCTACTCTTTAACTCACGGACATGTTTGGTAGTTTTTTTCCAGTAGAATGCTTTTAGGTTTGATGACAAGTACACCTTAGAAGTAGAGTATACGCAGGGATCGCGTGGCGGTCAGACAAAAGTAATATATCATTAATAAGATTTTCCAAAAATACTCTTTTGTTGTTTGCCCCCAGCAGTTTTTTCTCTTCACTTAAGTCTTTTGCAAGGCTAATATTCGTAATGGGTCATTTTATGTGTATAACTCTTTTACTTAATTCAGTTGAGTAAGTCGATCGGTTCATATATCAGCGAAGATGGCGAGGTAGTGATCTCGTTATTGGAGAAGGAATTGACCAATCTGATCAACAATTTGGTAAAGAAAGTGTGATTCAAGCTGTTCCCACAGTGTATTTTGGGTCTCTTCGTTTTAGTCACTATATTATTTTCTGGTGTTCTCCTAGTGAAATCCTCTGTTCTTTGTTAAGGATTTGAAAAACCAAATTTTTTTTTTGTTTACAGTTTGATCAACTTCTATGAAGAAAAGTCGAAAGTGCTGGAAAATTTCAATGAAATTTTTTTTAATTATCAATTTCCAAGTTTGTTTTTTATGAGTCTGCCTTTCTGTGCTATGCTTTACAATAAGGGATTTTTTTCTCTTAATTTATTGGGTTTTTTGAATAAATTACTTGTTATTGGTTGTCTGTTTTAATTTCGCGATTGCGTATTCCTTCCGATACATTATTTAATCCAACTACGAAAGGTGGTGCTGTAGAGTGCAGTGGTTGAGGTGATTTAGTTTTAAACAGTAAGGTTGTTTTCAATTTCAAGTTTGGTGACATTTTCTTCAGATTCCTTCCGTTTGACCGCTTTAATTGCATATTCCACAACTTTTTGCCGCAGTCGGCGATGTTTGGTGTCAGTTTCTGGTACCATTGGGCCTAGTGAAGTATTTTCAGGTCAGTAGTAGTTGCTTATCAAAACGCTAGAAGTTTATTCAAACAAAAGAAGAAAAAGGCAGTTTTAGTTGGTTTAACTTGCAGTTTTGTTGCTTTTTACTTAATATGTTCGGGAACAATAGTCATAAAATTTTTTTTTTTTTTTTGTGTTTTGCAGTTTATATCTTTGTGGATGGAAGGGAACTGCGTAGGGGACGGAGGCTATGGTGGGCTGAAGAATAACGGGATAATGTTAGGAAAAAGTCGAAGATTCAAAAGATTAGTGCACCTAGGTAATATTACTGAGATCGATCGTGTGGTCGGGTCATCATTGCAGTCATCGTTGCGATGATGCTGTTGTTGTATGGTGAGGAGCAGTTGGAAAAAATTTTATTTTTAATCGCTCTTTATGTGTGGACTGTTGCTCATCAGCCGATTAGGGAAGAATTTTTCATTTTATTGATTGAGGAAGCTAGCATCTTGTTTTATTTTTTCGTTTTGTGAGATGCGTGAGCGAATACTGTTGAATCACTAGTGAAAATTTTCAGTTGGTCGTAAAATTAGTTCTCTTCGCAGCTGGGCTGTTTGCAGGGTATATGGTTAACGTGAAATAATCTTCCAAAGCAAGTTTCATGCAACTACCTGCTTCGACAAACGGCGATATGCCCAATGACTTACACGAAACGAATAGCAGGCGTCACAGCGATATTGCAAATTCCGGTTAGATTATTCAACTGAACTAAATTATGGGATTCAAAAATAGCATATCGCAAGTTCTAAACAGCTTTCCTGATCTGTAATGACTTTAAGTAAGGTTACTCTTTGAAATACTTTTTAGCACCTAGCACGTCGACTGTAGATCCAGAATTGGATAATGAATATGTTAAGGTGAGTGGCTGTGTGAAGTTTTCTTATGGTTATATATATATTTTTGGGGGGCAAACCACTTGCAAGTTTTGACATTGTTTTTGCATATTGGCTTAATTATCATTTTTCAGTTAGACTTGTCAGCCAGTTCTTCATAAAACTGTAAATGTAATTCTCATATGAAATTCTATATTCCTCTTTCAGATAACTGGGGAAACTATAGGAATTACAAATCTATCAGATGCTTGTTTATCACAACTTGCTACTCATATTACCTATGTTTTAAAGGTGTCTTCAATGAAGTATTATGAATGTTGTTGTAATGTGTTCTTGGCGTGGAATTCACTGTATCACTTTACCTTTTTCAAGCCATATTTTGCTATTACCAAACCAAATTTCTTTTGCATTAAATAATTTTTAGGAAGTTGTAGAGCAAGCAAAAAAGTTTGCTGAACATGGACGTCGTAAACGGCTTATTGCTGACGATTTTGATTCTGCACTGGCTGTTAAAGGAATTCCAGTGAGTGGAGTATTTACTGTACCAGGCTGTGTGAACTCAATTTTTGACATGCAAATTTCAGCCCTTATTTGGTTTTTGTTCAAAAGATGGTTTGCCTTTTCGTTATGCGGGTTCATTAGGTCGCGATCTTTTTGTGACTGACGACCGGGAAATTGATCTTTCTCCAATAGTCAATGCTCCTCCAGCCAAAGTGCCTGTTGAAACGAGTCTAAAAGGTAGTGATTTATCAATATCTTTATGGAGCTGCATAATTTCGAAAGTTGCATATTTAACCAATTTACACGAAATTTCTAAGTTGCTCCGTTTAAGGGGCTGATCAGGCACTGTCATCAATAACGTTTGCTCTGCACTATTATTCATCATTTAGTCTAATGCTCATTGTTTCGAAAGTAACATTTTAATTTCTAGCTCATTGGCTAGTCATCGATGGTGTACAGCCTGCAGTTCCTGAAAACCCCACTCCTGTAATAGAAGAGGAAGCATGCGTTTCAAATGTAGGGGACGTTCCAGCAGCGGGAACTGCTGTTGGACCTAGCATTTTTGGCCAAAGCGGTAGAGGGTTACGAAAGACTGAACAAGTCCAGATTAAAACGATTACAACTCATGCACTTTCTGTGGTAATTTTATTGTCATTGAGTTTTTAAGTTAATCACTCGCTTGGCTTCTTTATTGATATAGGAATGTCTTTTAAGTTAAACACTGTTTTTAGGAGCAGCAAATATTTTTCAAAGAGATAACAGAAGCGATTATGGGGAATGATGATGCGAGAAGGACGGTTAGACTGTATTACTGTCTTAGAAATCCGTATTTGAATTTTTTAGGAATAGCTGGCAGTTATTAGTAATAGTTTATACGTTATCAAAAGTTTTTTATCCATGAATATGTATTCTAGGAGGCCTTACATAGCCTGCAAACAGATGCTGGGCTGCAAGCACTGCTTCCGAGGTTTTCTTTAGCGATTGCTGAGGGGGTACGGAATTTATTGTGCTGGTTCTTTTTTTAAATATTAACCGGACACTAATTCATTCACCTTGAAAGACTTTTAAGAAGCAGTGCCACTTAAGCTAAGTTTTGTAAAGAACTATTTTTTTCAGAGCATCTTTTGTTTTAGGTTCGCTGTAATATCGTCCAACATAATCTTGCCATTCTAATATACTTGATGAGGATGATCCAAAGCTTGGTACAAAATCCTGCTCTGTCATTGGATCGTTGCGTAAGCTTTCCAGTAACTTCATTCTTCTTGTTATGAGTCACGCTGACCGCTCACTTGCCTAACTGAGATGGAAGCTTGAGCTCTTTTTACTGTAAGTTTTTTTTTTATAGTTACACGAGTTACTCCCTTCTGTAATGTCTTGTATATTGAGTAAACAGCTGTGCGCTCGACCAGATACAGACAATCACTGGGCATTACGCGAATTTTCCAGCCGGCTATTGGCGACGATTTGCAAGTAGCTTTTACCATCATTTTTGCTACAAAAACGATGTGATGTTTTTACTTTGAATAGTTTTTTAGAGCCTACAATTTGAGTAACCTAAGGTCCCGGGTAACACAGGTCTTGACCAAAGTTTGGCAGGATGAACATGTCACCCTTGCGACTCTTTATGGATCTGTTTACGCTCTTAATGAGCTTGGTGTTGACGTAGGTGTCCAAAGTCATTCACTGGGCCTATGCATTTTCATGACTATCTAGTGCTAATAAATCCTGGCGAGAAGCTAGAACTTTTTAATAGTTCTTATTTCTAGACTGTACGTGCAGTGGTTATACCGCGCGCTGCTTTTCTTTACAATGACATACAGAAACCTTTGTCAGATCGGACAAATACCGCGGAACGTATAGCAGCAGAAAAATTGCAGAGCTTTATTACGGTATTAAATTGGATGTTATTTTCTGCTTCCATATCAGGCCAACATATTTGGTCCCTCAATTGTTAACTAGAAGTCTTCTAGAAAGTACTGACAAACTACGTCCGCACCCAGCGGCCGCCAGGTCTCAGAGATATTAACGATTACCGAACTACATTTGGAGGGTTTGCGGATGCTATTTACAGGTTTCTGAAACAAACTAATTAAGTTTTTTCGGGGTAATAAGAGTTTTAGGTTTTACATCAGGCCCTTCTCGTTTTACTGGTTCATTAACCGGACTTTGGAATTTTTCCACTTCATTGTTGAGCAGTATTGAGATTTCTACTTCTTTGACTCTATAATTTATTTCAAAGGGCTATATCGACTGAAATGCCGCACCACTCTTCGTCATCGACGTTAATCTCGACAACGCCGAAGAGCAGTATGACTCAGGTACTTACAGTTTCTGCTCTTTCATAGCCAATTAAATCTGAACCCTTCCATGTCAAAAACTGGCTTGCATCTTCTGCAGTAACAAGTTTTTAAAACGGGTGAAATTTCAATCAAACTGGGAAATCCCAGTCAAAATATTCTTATCAACATACTCGTGGAGGAGAATCTATTCTAGCAGCGATTCGCCTCGGTCGTTCGGCCTAGTTTAGGAGCGCAACGTGTTGTCGTCCGCCGTCAGCTCTCCCCAACTAGTCATTATGGCCAACAGTCTTTCAACAGCACTTCGACTACTCGATTGCAAGCAGTTGCTTCCGAGAGTCCAAAACCACCTACTTCTTCTAATTATTATGCATCGCCAGCTAACTCAGGAACTCCCGTTTGTTTTCTCCTCATTGATCTCGATAAAGGAAAACAAATCTCTTTTTCCAATTATTGTAACAATTAAGATCTTCATCTGTGCATCTTTTCAGTTTTTTTTCAAAAATGGTCAAAGTAAAGCATGACCTGCTGAGACCGTCCTCCATTTATGCCCGGTTGAGCTGTTCTTTTTAGGGAAGCCCCTTTGCTGTGCACCAAGGGACATTGAAGAAAGTGGTTGTAACGACAAATCAGCCAGGTGAAAACAACTCTGGTGATGTATATAGAAATATTCAAAATTATTAGCACTGGCTAGTTGCCAGCCCAAAAACTGATTTTGTTGCCTGCGGATTTTATATGTTTGTAACTTTAGTTTGATTTCTAATTTTCCGACTTATGACAGGGTTGTTTCAAAGGCTTGCGCCTTTCCTATGCTTTCCAAGAAGAAAAGTTGCATGTTCAGCAGTTACCTCCTGTTTGCAAAGCGATAAAAGCTCTAATTTGACAGTGATATTACTTCGCCTGCATGACCCGTATATTAGAGATACAGGCTTCTTCATGCTCTTCTAAAACTAATTTTGAAGCAAGCACTCTTGAAAAGTACAGAAGGAGTTCCAGGCTCTCTTCTTGCGTGAATTCTC